AAACAACAGAACAAATTGCACTAAGACTAATCACACGAATAAGACACCCCCAAAACCCACTGCACAACCCTTCCAACCAACTACTATACGAACGCACAAACATGACAAACATTTCGGAAAGACTAATACACTACATACAAAATGGACAAACAACCCCCATAACTGGACCATACTGAATCCCCTTAGCCTAACAAGACAGACAAAACACTCCCGTTTTCGTACCCCAACAGATACTTTACTAGAACACCTACAAACGCAACTGAACTAACGACTACGACGTGTTTGTTTTGTAAGCCAAGAATTTCTTTTTTTTATCACTGATTAGTTCGTACGAGTGTTAGGAATAGGAATTAATTTTAGAATAAGCTGGGCTAAGGCACAAACGCAACTGAACTAAGACCTATTTGTTTTGTAAGCCAAGAATTTTATTTTTTATCACTGAGTTTCTACAAGTCTTAGGAATAGGAATTAATTTTGGAATAAGCTAGGCTAAGACACATATGTACTACACAAGGGCAGAAAGACCGATTGGGTCGATAGTCTTTTTCTGTAAGAAATACAGATTATTTATATATATAACAATAGTGATAAAATATGTTCACAGCTATTTAATATAAATAACGTCATTTTTACGCGCAATTGGTTAGAGGTGACGACATGGATTACGTTTGCTGAATATTGACGTATTTTGTTCGTGAGATACAATTTTGAAACAAAATGAAATTGAACAAACATCTTTCTTCTTCGATAAATTTCAGTAGCAGAAATGATGTCAAATAAATAAAGTACCTTATTGTTGGATCAGAAGACTTATATCCATTTTTATACTCTGCTGCTTCTTCTAGGGCGTGCCAATCATAATTCTCATTTCCAACCACAATGGCCATCAGTTCTTGAGAATGAAATAGTAGCAAAACCCGGCCTCCACAAACTTTCATAAAACCTTCATGAAATGCGTTGTACTGATTTTCGACCGATTTTCTGAATATATAGTCTACATATAATGTAACATACTCTTGTCTGAAAACAACATAAAACCATTACTAATTCAGTCAAAAACTAGCTTAAGTTTCAGTATCTTTGAAAACAAATATAAAATAACACAAATTAATTATCAACTTGTCAAACGTTCTAAAAATTCACCTTTTTGTTAATTTTGAATGTGGTTTAGTATCGGTGTCGATAGGAGCTTGGGCCTGACGTTCCGCTGACACACAGGGTTACCATCTTCGGAGGTATGTTAATTTCTGGTGAGGAAATACGCGCCTTTATTGCAGCACGTATAAATGCTTGGTTGGAAGAGGTGCCGCATATTTGGCTTATAATTCGAGTGGAAACAACACGGTTCTATATACCTATACTGGTAACGACTCAGAAATTTTTAAATAAAATAATTTATAACTTGAAAACGGTTGATTTCACAGCTTAAAGTGTAAATGCAAATTTGTAACTTTGTAAATTGTCTATCTAATGACGTATTAATATGCAGGTACTTCCATTTGAAAAACAAAAGTAATAATGCGTTAAAAAGTTTTAGATTGAAGTCTACATTGTTTCAACTTGAACATTTAGGCTCAATACAATTCTTAACGGATCTGTGGTCATTGGAAAGGCGTATTTTTTTGTATCTTTAACTGTTTTTTTCCTCTGCAATGAATTTTCAGATACCATGTTTTCAAGTAAAATTTTGCTAAAATGGCGATAATCTGCCAACGTTGCAAGTAAGAACAAAACAATTTACGGTGAATATGCAGCGTTTCAAGCTGCATTCCACGAGCTAATGAAAAATGGGTAGTTCTATTTAAAAAAATACACTTTGATCTTGCCTCGCTTTCCTGAGACACTCTGTATCATATAAGATATTTTTGAAATGTGCGCACTTTGTGCGTCATTAAAAAAAAAATAAAGTTAAAGCGTCCAAAACTATCAAACCATTTCTTAAAATAATGTATTTAAAATATATGTTTTTAAATTCAGTAGACAAGTTTAAGCATTTTTTATTTTATCGATTGACTGATGATAAAATAACATACCGAAACGTATGTCAGATTGGCTGTTTTATAAATAATGTAATATAAATGAATGTAAATCGCATACATGCAAGGTGCCTTACAGTTATTCAATTCATCCAAAACGAACCATACTTACTTATTGTCTTGCGTCACAGGTATATTTGAACCGTTGGGTTTTAACTCAACTGTTACAATTTCTCCCCAAATATCCCTATTGATATCAAATGAAAGGCAAAATATATCCTGAAGGTCGTCATTCTGATATTCTAGTAACGCTTTCAACGAATTCGCCATCAATGGCGATAACTCTTTGAGATCACTGAGTCCAACTACTTCATTGAGCAACTTTTTGTATAGCGCAAGAGGAAATGGAACATCTATTATTGTGAAGTTATAAATGGCCAATCCACAAATCATACCTGAAAATATTGAGGTGTGGTTTCATTTTTTTAGAAGCTGTCGTTTCAAGAACGCTTTTCGTTTTCATAGTAAAATGTAGGCTAATTGCTTCAACTCTACTGCCACTGAAACACATGCGAGGTGTGTGACAAGGTGCCCAACGACAGAGTAAAGTAAGTTAACACTTTACAGTCTTAAAAAATGGAATTGTCTATAAGGTAAGGGTAGTGATTTTTTTAATCGCATATTTTTAAATGATTGGCAATTAAACAAAGCTTCATAAAAGTAGCAACAGTGATAAAAAAAAATCTCTAATAGAACACCACTTATTTAATTTAATTTTTTTATTATTATGTAAATTTTGGTTAATTTCAGATATTTAAAATATGAACTATAAATAGTTAGTTTTTTAGTTTTCTTCTATAAATTCATGCGATTAAAAGCCTATTAATTTGTAATACGTTAAATCAATAGATTAGGCCAAGCAGTAGAGGGATTGTTCTTGACATAAATCCCATTAGAAAACCACCTACGCAATCACGTGCAGGGCAGTCCGTCCTTTATTACCACTAAGTTTTGGACAACAAAATGTAATTTATACATTTTTTATAATCGCGTTTGTTTAGCTCGCTTGTAAAATCGAAACGATTGCAGCAATCTTGATGGTATAAATGGTTGAGTTGTAGATAATTGAAAGACAAAGCGAGTGAGAGGTCGATCGACCCGATCGGATATATGAACCGGAGATAACTCGGAAAATACGGAAAACTTTACGTTCTTATTTCATTCAGAACTTGGCCATTTTTTAATATTAAGAGCACACGCGTAGCTATCTTTACAGTGTGTCGCACTTAAGATGGAAACACCCCTG